CTAATGCCGGGGGTTTAAGTGGAGAGGAAATGTTTTGAGAATGATGAGGGTAATGAATGTACAAACGCACTTTACACAATTGATGTGTGTATGGATTGTAATAAGAGTTGTATGAGCCCCTAATAAAATGATTAAAAGGAAAAAAAAAAAAAAGCTTTACAACAGGAAAAAAAAAGATCCCTCTCTCAAAAGACCCTCAAGAGAGTGAGGGTCTCATGTACTATGCTAGAATTATCCTGTGCAACTCCCAGAAAAGACAAGCAAATGCAGACTCTGGGGCTCCGGTGGGACGCTGACGGCTGCCATCGGTGTGTGGTGGTGCCTTGGTTTGCGGAGAATCGAGAGGGCAAGGGTCGCCGGTATCATGAATGTCTGGGAGGCAGGGAAAGGCACGGGGGAGGAAGGATGGGAGAAAGCTATCCCTAGGGGGCAGGGGCAGGAGGCTGCTGATGGAGGTGACAAAAATAACGGAGGACTGGAAACAATGCGCTCTACAACAAAACCCGTCAACTTCTGTCCCGAAACTCCACATGCCATCGGGAATTCTGTGCACCCAAGCCAATATGCATGTCCCGCATGATCTCATCAGTCACTCTCCCCCTGTCACCCCTCTCCAGGGGCGTGCGAGAGGAAACAGGCTGTGCTGGGCAGGGACTGTGCAACTGGCGATGGGCTGCAGCCCACGTCTTCCTCTCCTTCCCCTTTGTTTGGCTCGAGCTTTGCACACGCTGAGCCCTCTGTCTGTCACCTTACCCCCCGTCCCTGGCCACACACCCACCTCCTTCGCCTGGCCACTTCCTTTATCTCTGCAGAGATTCTTCCCTGGGGCTAGCCTCTGCTAGTCTCCTGCTCGGTGTTCTCGCTCCTGGAGCTCCCCCGTTTCACTTTACTCCATTTACCATAATTGTCAACTCTTCCCACAAGGAGTTCCCAAGAGCCCAGGATGGAACAGTCGCTGTGCTCTGGATGGGGCTTAGAGCGAGGATGCCCTTTGACCCGTTTCAGTTAGCCAAGCAAAGGTGCTCAGCCCTCCCTGATGTCTGGGAGACTGTCTTGGTCCAACCTTGACTGATGTCCATGCCGGTTTCACTCGAACATATTTCTGTCCCTCACCACTTAGCTCTTGGCCATGAGCTTTTCTGATTTCCAGCTCCCACAAGGTGATTGGTACAAGCCTAAAACCAGCTGGCCCAGGGCACAGGGTTTTATGGATTGGAATTCAATTATGTTGGAGGACTGCTGATGTGAATGGCAAAGGACCAGGCAGCAAGAGGCTACAGGAGAGCTGTGGCGCGCGGATGACACGGCGCAACACGGACCGAGACAAGAATGGTCAGGACCCTTCTGGTAGATGCAATCTGCGAAGTTTATTGACGCTGCTTCTGAGCCCGAAGTCAGCTGCGGAAGACCCCAAGCTCCTAAAACCCCGGGTATATATACCCTGCTCAGTGACGTGTCCTACCAGGATTGGTGCAACGCGATAATGCGCAGTGAGCGGCTGGCAGCGCATGCGCAACGAGCCTGTTTACAGCTCAGCTCCTGGCAGCGCATGCGCAACAAGCTTGTTTACAGCTCAGCTCTTGGCAACGCGGGCGCGGTCCGGCGCCATCTTGCAATGGCGTCCACAGAGAGCCAACAGACAAGAGACACCATGTGGTCTTTCTCAAGTCAAAGGACAAAAAACCATATTGCTGTGAATGAGGGGGAGGGCAGAGTGGAGACTCACAGCCCATTTGTAGACAATTGGACATCCCCTTACAGAAGGGTCACAAGGAAGAGATGAGCCAGCCTGTATGCTGCATAGCACCAACGAACATACAACTTTCCTCTCGTTCTTTAATGCTTCCTCCCCCCACTATCATGACCCCAATTCTACCTTACAAATCTGGCTAGACCAGAGCATGTACATAAGTACAGATAAGAGCTCACAACACAGGGAATCCAGGACACATAATTTCATTCAGGACCAATAATGAGAGTAGCAATACCAGGAGGGTAAGGGGAAGGTGGGGGTAAAAGAAGGAACTGATCACAAGGATCTATATGTAACCCCCTCCCTGGGGGACGGGCAACAGAACAGTGAGTGAAAGGAGACATCAGACAGTGTAAGACATGAAAAAAAATTTACAATTTATCAAGGGTTTGTGAGGAAGAGAGTGTGGGGGATGGAGGGAAAAATGAGGATACCAAGGGCTCAAGGAGAGAGAAAATGTTTTGAGAATGATGATGACAACAAATATACAAATGTGCTTGACACAATGGAAGTATGTATGGATTGTGATAAGTGATGTTAGAGCCTCCATTAAATGATTAAAAAAAAAAGAACTGAACTTGTGTCTTTTACTTGAAGGCTCAATTAAATTCCTAACAATAGGATAATTCCAGTGACATGTAAACAAGGAAGAGTTAGGAAAGGTGCGTAGAGGGTATTGGGAACTGACCTAAGTCTGGAGACGGGGAAGCATCCAGGGGTCCTGTTTCTTCTTGGCAGACCGGAGGTGTAAACCAGCCATCAGTAAGGCATCTATCGAGTTGGTCCAAACAGCCTGATACGTACCATCATCTGGAAGCACGTAGGCCATCTGCCTCTGGTGGTCCAGCTCACTACTGCTCTGAGATCTCATTTTTCTACTGGGATGGGGAATATAGTCCCATTGTGGCTCCCCACCCCCCGCCGCTCCCTATCTGCCAAGGACAGTGCCCTGCAGAGCTGTGAAGGCCTAGCCAAAGCCTTTGAATTGTCCTCTGGGTCTTCTCGGGGTGAGCATCTGCTTAGGGAGGGACTGTGTGGACCCATTTCTACATTTTTCACTCACTCCCGAGCCATCAGCCTCCTTCTAGCCACCAGGGATTCAAATATTTTGACCCCCTTGACTCTAAGCCATCCTTGTGCAGGCTTCAGCTCGCCAACCCAGAGATGATTAGCCAAACTGCCAGAGCTTGAGCCAACATGTGACATCCTGAGGCCTAGGGGAGGTCCACGTGGCGCAAGTTCAGCCGTCAAGCTGATTCCAATCACTTTGTTCTCGGCCTCTCAGCATCGACTCCCACACCTGCTCCCAGGCTCCTACCGGTAGCCAGTCATCATTGCCTTCCCAACCTATCAAAGACTCATTCTATTTCCCTTTGCCCAGGTTTCCGGTTGTGTTTGTTGGGAGACTATATCCCTTTGCAGTTACTTCCAGACCCAATCCAACTTTTTAATCCTAGATCTGTTGCCTTCTCTTGAACACAGCCCATTTCTATCCATCTAGGCTCTAAGGAGCCCGGGTGGCCTAGGGGATTGTAAGTTGGGCTGCCAACTCCAAGGTGAGCAGCTTGAAACCACGAACCCCTCCGAGGGAGAAAGATGAGGCTTTCTGACCCCATAGAGAGTTACCGTTTAGGACCCCCAGAGGGGCGGTTCCACTCTGGGCTGTAGGGCTGCTATGAGTTGGATTAGATGCGATGGCAGTGAGTGTGGTTTGGCAAGTATCTGGGCTCTAGACTCAAGCTTGCGCTTGCCTCCGGGGCCACATAGACTCACTGGTCCATCTCTGCTCCTGAGACACAGTTATGCACTCCTGTTCCCGGTTGCTGCATGCCTCAGAGGACGAACAGCAAAGCATCTGAGAAATCAGCAGCGTGTTCTCTAAGAGCTGCGTCTGCTCTTAATTGGCACCTGGCTCTTTTCCGGGACTGTGGTTTGGCGCTTCTCTTCTAAAAGTATCCTAATTTTTTGTCTAACGTTCCCATTTTGCCCCTTTATTATTCTTATTTTTGGTATAGGATTCTTTTACCTTCAGAGGCATAGACGTTGTCCTTTGGTTAATTTCCTCGAAGTTCAGGGCCTGCTGTCCCCTTCACAGGAAATGATCCATCGGTGTCACTATCTACTAAGCATGCCTGCATCGCACAGGGCCAGGCTGGAGGGGAGAATCTGGCAAACATGTGAAAGGTCAAGTTGTCAATCTATTGCAGGGCTGTCACATTGGTGGCCCACGGGCCGCATGTGGCCCCCGAGGTAATTTTTTGTGGCCCATGATGCTCTGAAATAAAATGA